GAGAATACCAATCGACATCGCCGATAAATCAGACGTGGGGGAGACAGAGCAGACTGTTATGTAAAAAAAAAAAAAAAAAAAAAAAAAAAAAATTGTCGGAGGCTCTCTGGAATATCAGCGCGAACGCCGTCGACGGTGCCGCATCGTCTAAATGGCACTTACACACGCACACGCGCGATTAGATAAAAGAGGGGAAAAATGAGCGTGTGTGTGTGTGTGTGTACGCGTACATACGGCTTACACACGGGGCGCGGCAACCGTCTAATTGCGGATACGCATACTTTGTGACTTCGTGATATATTCTTCCGCAATAAACTTGGCCGTCGTTATCGTCTTCCGCGATAATCTCTGATTACATACGAAGAGACCGAGATAAAGCGCACACACGGTGAAACTTTTGCAACGGAACGGTCATCCACGTAAAAAAACATATACGATTGACTAAAGTACCCGAAACGCTTCGTTCTTCGGAAATAAAAAAACAAATGTCAATTGTCGGCACGTGGTGTTTGCGTGACGATTGTAGACGCTCTGCAAGTGATATTTGACGCTGCACCAGCTAGCAAATTTAACTTTCGCGCGGACAAAACACGGTCAAAGATTTACGAGTTGGACTTCGAAGTGATGTCTCATCCGTCAGATATGGCTCGAGTGCGAAGTCTATTCGTTTTCGAATCTGAGAAAATGACTCGATGGAAAGAAATTTTTGAGCAACAATGAGGTCATCACATGCGGCGATGCCGCAAATGGTTACGTATAGCGAATCGTCACGCAAACACTACGTGCAACGAGCCAGAGTTTGTTATTTCGAATGAAAACTTGTCAACAGTAATATGTGATACTACTGTCGCTATCTGTGCGTCGTTTCGGATACTGATCGTCCTCACACGTAACGTGCTAAGAACAAATTTAGATTTCACAACTTGATGAATAAATATCACCGCTGATTGACGTCCTGGTGAAAACTTCGATCTGACGAGAAGAGTAACGTGAAAATTGCATCTATTTTATCTCTGACAGAAATTGTATTTCGAAATTACGTACACGTGTGTGTGTGTGTGTACGTGCACACATTATTTTCTATTTGTTTTGTGTCGGGACAAGTTTTGAGTCACGCTTATTTAATAATAAAAGGGAAACAAAAAAGAGAGACTGTTCGAACGGGCATGAAAATACTTTTGTCTGATTGTCAGAGATAATGGACAATCAATATTCGCAGTTGCTTAAGACAATATTATTTCTCCGCTAGATGTGTGTCAACACATAGAGATCCACTCCAAGTATTTATTTTTTTTACACCGAATCATCGGTTGTTTTATCATTAAAATTATTTTATCTTCGCAATCTGATTCGATGTATCTGATTTTAAATTAAATTCTCGGTTAACGAACATAAGTAAGTTAGCAATTATTAAATGTTTCGATCCGATTATCGAGCCGATGAGAACTTTTGCCCCAGATATTTCGTCAGATCTAATTACGTCTGTTCGTATTAAACAGCACACGTGCGCGGTCGTCCGCTTTTGCCCGCCACGTTGTTAATTTTCGCGCTAATGCGCGGCGTTGATCGCTTTTTGGGCTCGGTCGTGCGATTAGATAGCAGTAGGTGAGCAAAAAAAGATTACGTGCACTATGGAAAGGGAATACAAGAGGGCTTGTCGCTTGCTATTTATCTCTGAATATTCTCGAGAATGTGTTTACGGTCGATTCGTTCTTTCTCGACGAACACACACACACACACACACACACACATTCGCGCGCGAACATCGTTCGCGTTTGCGACGAGCAGGATCGCGCGCGGGATCGTATTTAATTCTGGAAACTATTAATGTCGCGAGTAGAGAGCGGCTGAAAGGACACGTTGTTCGTCGAACTTTGGTCGTTTCTTTGCCTCGCCCGTTCCTCGCACGTTCTTCCTCAATAATAGCGCTCGTTACGTTTAATCTCTTCGAATGAATGGAGCGACGCGACGTGCACGATGCGCGCGCGCACACATGTACGCGCGACATGTACCTTTGTACGAAGAGATCAGTTCGGAACACAGATATCACGCAGCAAATCGGCGATAAGCATTTCCAAACGAATTTGGAAACCAATGGCGCTTTAACAAAATTCAAACGATATTTTATGAAATGAAATGGATCTCTTTTGCAGTTAGTAACTCGCGCACATATGACACTTCTGTTGCAGAGACCACGACTACCGTGAATTGGTTTCGGATGTAATTTTTCGAAAAATAACCACAAAATTCTCTTTGATGTGTTTTGAAAACAAAAAATTCTTTAAATTTACGAACACACAGTATAAAACGAATCGTTGACACGCGCGCGAATAATACTCGTTTCGAGCTCCAACGCGCGAGACGCCGTTAAGAGTTTTTACGGTATATGAAAGAGAGAAAGAGAGAAGGCCGGGACGCTCTCGAGAGCCAATATTAACCCGAAGAAATATTAGCAATAAACCATTGCATTACGTGTACATACACTATATATATTATGTATATACATCAGACCTCGACTGCCTGCTGGAGTCTCTCCTATGGAGTCAGTGTCTCGTTTCTTGCGCCGTTTAGGTGCCAGAAACGCGGACTCTTCTCACATTTCGCCGATGAAATAAAGGCTCATTTTTCGACTGGGAAATAAAGGAGAGTGGTTATCGCCGTTTCCCACCGTGTTATCGCTCCGCCCTCGTATCTTCGGGGCGAAAGCCAGATTAATTTTACGGTGGAAGCTGGATGAGAGGAACACGGGCGTAACGGGCGGGTCTTGGAGTCACTCGCGCGCGTTTGCATCGATTTCGCTGCAATACCGCATTCAATACGCCGCGCGCGCTTAGCTTTTATTTCCACCGCGGAATTTCCCTCTCTCTCTTTCTCTCTCGTTATGCTGGTAAGCGTACGATAAGAGAGAATCTATTGTTATGTGTGTGTTAACTTCGCACGAAGAATTACGCGCTGCAAAATAGAGGGATATTGCACTAACGGTCTACTCTCTTTTACGTAATACAAAAAACTTCTAATTATTACGACCTCCAACGTTTATTGAGTTTATCTCTTCTCTCAATTTTAAATGATAAAACTTCAAATTACTTCCGCAAGGATACAAATGGTCGGACAGTGATCAATTATAAGATACGTAAATGTTAAACATAATTTTCTCAATATTTTAAGTAGTTTTTAAAATATGTTTTCAAATGTCATTTTTTAACTTTTTTATATCATATAATTACTAGTAATTACAGCTATAATTGTTTCTTTAACAAATTATTGGTCAGTGGCACGTGTTCGGTTATTGGAAAGCTTGGTTAATAGCTTTCGATGCACATTTCCTGTCTTTTGAGCTTTAGTATCGGTATAAGAAAGTGACAGTAGAAAAGTCTGATAGAAATGAATCTTTAGACTGATACGTACACTAACGTTTTTATCTTTTTTTTATATTTGAATGACAAGAAAGAGAATTGTGTGAAAAAGATCGTGCCATCTGTTCGCGGAGTGAAGAAAAACCAGTCGTGTTCAGAACCAGAAATTGTTAAAAGAGGAAAAAAACTCGTTTTGCACAATAGAGGTACTACACAATATTGTATGCGCTATTGCAGACATTCGATTCGCAGAACAACATTCGCGGTCGGTCGTAATTTTATCCCTTTTTTTT